CACTGTCCCTGCAGCAATCACTTCTCCTGCAGAGGCTGTTGTTTGAACAATGTTGTTTTCTAAAATGTTGGACGTGCGGAAAAATCGTAAAATTGCCATAGAAATAACCGCTGTAGGAATTGTTGCTGAAACCGTCAACCCAATCTTTAGCCCTAGATAAGCGTTTGCTCCAGACATCACAATAGCCAAAATAATCCCTAAAATTGTCGCCTTTACGGTAATTTCTGGTAGTTGGCGATTTGCGGGGATATGGGGAGTAAAAGATGATTTACCCTGTGGTGCTTCAGAAACTTTTACCTGTGCAGCGCTTTGAGATGACACGAATTTAACCTCATTTTCTAAACAAAAACCTAAAAACTGTAGGAAGTCACAGTCTGACTGTCAAGTTATGAGAAAGTTTCGCCCGCCAGAATTTCATATCAAGCATCTTAAAAGAAACAACTTTTACCTACTTGGCTTCTTTAAAAAAAGAGGCTTAAGAATTAAAATTTGAGGGAAAAATTCGCTTTGATACAATAAAACTAACGTTATTCCCAACCCTAAAACCTTTTTTAAGAAGCCTTTAGTTCTTGAGATCAGCCAATCTTATTTTCTGCAAAATTGCTATTTAGGGGGCGCAAAGAAAGCATATAGTGAACACCTTCTTCTTTTTCTTCATCACTTGGTGAAAAAGCAATGATTTTTCCATACCCTAAATCCATAACTTTTCCTGAAACTTTCGACTTTTCTGTATTCTTCAAATAATCCTTAAAAGGAAGTTTTTGATCTGTTGATCGCGTATCTTGAAAGAAAAAAAAGCGTACTTCAAAGTTTTCACCATTGAGATTCACAATCTTCCCACCCATTGGAGAAACCAACTCTGAAGACTGAAAAAGGCCGATTTCTGGAATATTTTCAACAACTTCCTCTAGAGTCGGCACTTTCTGTACGCTTAATTTTACCTGCTCTGATTCAGCGCTTTGAACAAAACTTGTTGATAGAACAAACAATAAACAGAAAAAAATACGGTAAAGCATATACAGACTCCCTCAAATAAGTTTATATTTTCAATATATTATAAAACGCGTTTGAAATCAAATATAAAGCTTTTAAGGGTTCGTTTTCATCAACATCCGAAACCCGAGGACGTTTGGAGCGCCCTTTTGACGGATACAATCATTTCTAAGATTGGCTTGTGTACTTGTAAGCGCCACAATCTTTTTATCAGAAACTTCTTTAACCCAGGCGGCTCTTTGATGCCTTCTGGATTGGTATTGTTCCATCACTTTTTTTATGTTTGGCAGACCATTCTCTTTAAGAATTTCTTGTAAAACATAGGCATCCTCAAACGCTTGCGCCGCTCCATTTTGCAACATTGGAGAAAACCCTCTTAAGGCATCACCCACAAAAATAACTCTCTCTCCTTTTGACCAAATGATATCTTTGCTGGTTTCAAGATAATGTGAGGCAATAACAGGTTTTGTTGCTTCAATAATGGAAAGAGCCTGAGGAGCCAATCCTCCAAATTCTGCAAAAGTATGGAGAACATCTTGAACATGATCAAACTTTTTTACGTGTTTTGATTGTCTGTCCGCAACGATATGACCATAAACATACACTTGGTTATCATTGATGGGGTACAAAAGAAAAACCCTGTCATTCCCTAGCATATAAACAGGCGTCTTAATATCTTGCTTGTTCTCAATAATGGTTCGCCAAATTTGAATACCTAGGTAATCAGCACCATATTGAAGGCTCTTAAAATCAACACTATAAGTGTTATCAATTAAGGATCGTGTTTTTGAATGAATCCCTTCAGAAACAATCAGAAGATCTGCATCGATCTTTTGACCATTATTTAAGGTCAACATCACCTTGCCTGGTTGAGTGTTTGCATCTGTGATCCACGTCCCTATTTTAATTTTTGTCTTTTCAAGGGCGTTTTTAAGAACTTTTATAAATTTTGTACGATCAATGGAATAAAATTGGCTGCCTGAAGAATGGATTTCTGTGATATTTTCGTCAACCAATGTATTGCCCTCTTGATCCGTAAAGATCATATTGCGGATTGGCAGGGCAGACTCCTCAATATCAATCCCTATGTTTTTTAATGCCCAAGAACCATTGGCCGGAATGGCAATGCCAGATCCTTCAAGTTGATACATTTCTCTTCTTTCTAAAAGGACAGGGGAAAAACCGGCATTTTCAAGGGCCTTTGCTGTTGCGAGGCCTGCGAGCCCTCCACCTGAAATAACAATTTCCATCTCTTCTTTAGATTTTGCAAAACATTTCTGTACACTTAAAGCACTTGCGATCATAAAAACACCTATTATGATTTCCTTAATATTCATGCTGGGCTCCCATCATTTTAAAATCCGTGAGGGGCAAAATAGCAAAACTAAAGCCCTAGAAAAACTTTATTTTTTCTGAAACTTTTAAAGGAAGATTACTTTTCATTCTTGAGCATCCGCTCCCCAAATGATTTTTCCCAAATCTTTTGCGCAAAAGAGGGTGGGTATTGTCTTTGTCTTCTCCTTATCCCAAGGAGAGCGCTCTATTCTTTTAATTGCCTGGCATATGTTATCCACGTCTGAAGTTTGAAACACCCCAATCTGCACTTCTTTTGGACCGCCATATAACAACGCCTCCAAAATATGATCATCATTTGCAAAAGAGCATCCTAGCGTGATGATTTTCTTTTGTTCCTTCAATTGTTTATAGCAAAAAGAAAGATAAGGGTCGTCTTCGATCCAGGCTCTTTTATTTCCAGAACACGAATCAATGACACAAAAAATATCTTCTTCTAATTCAGATACATCTAGGCTTCGATAGTTTTTTTCTATTTCTCGGAATCTTTGGATAATATTACCCATCAAGGTTCCGTTCCCTGCCTCTATTTTTTCGTACCATTCACTTCCATTCTTCTGATGATAGATTATGTGAAATGCACCATGAAGATAATAAATACCTTTCGCTTCTTTCAGAACCCTTGCGATACAAGCAATATCCAATAAATTTGCCGCTTCGTGACCTCCCAATTCTTGCATGAGCGCTTTCGTCTCTTTCGGAAAAGTTTTGAATCCATCGTTGAAATTAGAAATAAAGCCCATAAAAATCGCCTTATAAACGATAGGATCATAATTCAAGGTAAAGATGTTTTGAAACTTAGATACAAAATTTTTGAGTTCATTTAATTGCGGGTTAAAGTTACTAAATTCTTTACTGTACCATTGAGAATCTCTGTTGAGACCTCAATGCGAAACACATTTAAAAGCTTTTCCGGACAGTTTGGATTAAAGTTTTCATCTTGATTGAGGTCTTTATGCTTTTTCAATAACCTGCCTTTGATGGATTCGTATTGGAATTCTACACTGCGCGGATGCGAAAGAATCAGCCCATTCCCAAATAGAACTGAATACTCTTTTTTCTCGTTTTGATATTTCGTAAGAGGATTGTCCGGAGAAGTGTGGGCTCTTACGTCTATATTACAAACCGCACAAGGACACATCATGCTTTCCTCCTCTTTAAACCCTAAAGTTTAAAGATTAAAAAAGTCTAAAGCATAGGAAAGAGGTCACCTTTCTCTCACTTTCATATCCAGGATTTTCAAAAGGGTAAGCGTTTTCAATCGCAAATACTGGATGACCTTCTATAGGAGATTGATTGAGTCATTCCCAAGAAATAGTGATGAAGCCTATTAAAACATAGGTGAGGGGCGAAATGACGATAATCAACCGTTAAAGATTCTTCTACACGGTACAAAAAAGGGCCCCCGAAGGAGCCCTTTTGAAAATTAAAGCTGATAAGGCTTATGGTTGGTGGCTTGATTAGAAGCCCATACCCCCCATACCGCCCATGCCACCCATCGCACCCATATCAGGAGCAGGAGCACCAGCCGCACTTTTATCTTCAGGAATTTCTGCAACCATTGCTTCTGTTGTAATCAACA